CCCCAGGTGCAGAATCCTGCTGTCACAGGCAAGGTAGAGTAAATGCCCCATACTGGATTTGCATACTAGGGCTTATTGAAGAACCAAGAAAGCAAGATTAAAGCTTTCACCCTCCTTGGTTGTGACCAGCTCCTGCCCCAGCACTACGTTCCCTGGGTCTCTACTTACCACCAGGGAGGTCACTTGTGGTCCAGGAAGGTCAGGCATGAAGATATGCTGGTTCCCACTCTGCTGCTGCTCACTCCTGCCCATTCCAGGTGCCACTGGCCAAGCTCCTGTCTCTCTGATCTCCAGGATATTCCCTCCCAACATATCCATACATGCTGCCTGCTAGCATTTACTCTGTAAGCTGATTTCATCTATGGCAGATGCTTATAGCAAGAGGGAGCAGAAGTGAAGGCGGCATTCCTGAGAAACACTGTGGAAGCTGCTGGAGATGTCAGATCAACACCACCTTCTGGTGAGGCAGCACAGAGCACCCAGGCCTGAGTCAAGGGTCCAAGACAGCTGAAGCAGCAAGGAAAAGCCTTAGGGACTTGGTGACCAGATTTGGAAAGACGAGGCATGAAAATGAAATGCCAATGACAGGTACATGAGAGTATATGGATGAGAAAGGCTTATGGAGGTCTGAGTGTTTCAGCTGAATGTCAGCCTGCCTCTCAGGAGTAGAAAGTGTAGCCCTACTGCCCCTAAAGCATTTGTAATGTGTGCATAAACCACACATCTGTTGCATTAGGCTGAGGCTAGAGGAAAGATGTGGTAGTCACCTCATCTGCTGCAGGGCAAGGCTCTGAAGGCATATTCAAATGGGACTTTCAGGGAGACCAGTACAGCTTATCCGAGAGAGAAGGATGTGATGGTGCATCAATCAGAGATAATTCCAAAGAAGATGTGGGGCTGCTGTCTTTTGAGAACTGGACATTGGTTAGTGGCATTATCTTTAGGGAGAAGAATCTGAAATGAAAATCAGTTATATGCCTTATAAGATGGAAGAAAAGAGCCAGAAAGTCCAGAGCAAGAGAGGAAAAAAATGAATATTTGGGAATCCCATAAAATTTAGGTATGGGCACGACTAGATAGCAGAAGCTCTAAGTATCAGAATCTCAGCTCTTGTGGCCCTGATTTCTCACCAAATCTCATTTTGGCTTCTCACCTTCCTTTTTTAAGCCTTGTCCCTCATAGATACCAGTTCTTAATGGCCTTGTGGGTGACTCTTTAACCCAGCTGAAGAAGGGTTACTGTGCTGAAAAGCTGTGTTTCTAACTGAAGACTCGAGTCTTAGTTCCTGTGGCCTCCATTTGCAAGGACTCGGTCTAACACATCCTAAATTAACTCACCAGGCAACAGAGTATGAAATCGGACATGACCGATCGATCTTTGAGCATTGATTCAAAGCAAAACTAATGGAATGTAAAGAAAATGTAAGGCTCTATTGTACTGTAAAGGCTGACTATTTAGCCATTTTACAAATAAAATTTCGTTTGGGAGCTGGATGGAAGTGTAAAGTTTGAAGAACTGACTAAAACCAGGCATAGGGACTTCACAAACTACTGATGTACAGACTGAGCCTTGGGGGAATGGCTTTGTTAGATGCCACTGACTAGAATAATTGCATGATAATTTTGGCTAGAGGCACCATCCAATCATCTGATGATTTTTAAACCGTGCATGAATAGTTTAGACAGAGCAATCTTGGCATCCAGCTACATAGAACTGAGAAGTCCATTCAACATCTATGCTTTGGCTCTTGGGGTAAAAAAGTGTCCTAGCACTATCAAAGAAAGGTCTCTGAGACATAACAAGCAGTGCTGCATGCTCCTTCTGCAATGCTCCAAGAGACTAACCAAGGGCTTTATCCTAAGGTAAGTGGCAGAAAAATAGTTCTTCCTAGGGCAGTACGGAGCAGGCAGGTCCTGTCAGACTTGAATCAATGGAAATTCAACTGTTAAGTAGTTGCATCTTAACATTTAACTTTATCTGACAAAACCTTTAACTCTGCTTTTTCCAACCACAGATGATGAAAACCTGGCATAAATTTAGTATAGAAGTGGTTTGAATCGTGGCAAATAATCAGATGAACTTTAAAGAAGTAACAAAATTGAGAAATAAAGAAATTTCATCTAAGTGAAGTGTTAGATTTTCATCTGATTCTAACTGATTACATGGATAAATTTTTATTGTTTGAAATAACCATATAAAACTACTTGGGCAGTCACAAAGGTCATCAGATGGTATAAGAAATAGCTCAGGTATGTACTATCTATACTAAAAATGGTGTATTATTAGTCTACAAGGCTAATAGTCTAGAATAGGCTGTAGTACTAGAATACTAGAATTTCTAGTTTACTAATGGACTGATAATGATATCAATCACATTTGAAATTACTCTCTTACAGTAAACTGAAATTACTCTATTATATAGAATTCAATTAAGACCAGGGAAGGGGAAAAAATTATAAAATTGGAAGCACACTGCTATGACAATGTTGTAAAGCAGTTTGGACTAATTTCTTAGAAACTCTGGGTTTTGTGGCTTTAAACTGACTTCTTTACTTCATACACAATGTTCACTGTGTCTGTATTTGTACTGCATTTCTACCAGTGAGTTGAGGGAAAGTGACCTGGTATAATAGACCTGCTTACAGGGTGAATTACACCACTCCTACAATTACTGTCTTGTGTCTGCTTTTATAAAGGAAAGGTGAGGACAGAGTTGTTTAAATACTGGTAGAAACAGCTTAAGAAACAAGCATCTGTAAAGCCAGAGTGATATGCTTATACTCCTCTCTTGCCCCGAAGGGTTACATTCACTTTCTCCTCCAAAACAGACAATGACAGTTCCTACTGCTAGAGGAATGCTAGCATTTCATCTTTGGGATTAACACGAGTCTCCTTTCCCATTTTATTCCTGCATTTATATTTTAGCATCCCACGTGGGTTTTTGTTGCTTGATGTTAGGATTTTTTTGCTGAATCTATCAATTTCAGTGATGGATCAGCCATTTGCAGGGCAGCAAATATACCCAAAGCTCCTTTGCTTAACTATTGCATTGCCATCATTCAGTCACCTTTCAGGGGAAGTAGAATGGAGCAACCAGCAAGTGTCACCCGCTTGTACTTGGCCTCCTTAGTATTCTGGGTCTGGGAACTTGCTCTGTGTAAACCTCTACTTTTCCCTTTGCTGAAGATCAAATGTTCTGTATCAGCACTTCCAAGCTTGGAAAAACAGGTTCGACATGGCTAGCTTGAGATGTAACATTTTCCAGCAAACCAATCGACAGATTAACATCTTTGCACCCACCCAGACAATGACATTGCAATAATTTGATATCTTCTCTGAATAAAACCCACATGAAATCAGAAGAAAGATTTGATATTGTTATTTAAAGATGAGGAAAATAGGTGACAATAATTATTGCTGACTTTTTTTCTCATGTGTCTTATTTCAGTGATATACATGGGAGGGAAGGAGTGGGGAAACAAGACATTCCAAGTGTGTGTCACAGCACCTAAGAAATTACTTGACTAGCTAGGTTTCCTTAAGCAGTTATGTACGTGAAAAGGAAAGTTGATTGTGCAAATTCAGATTGCAGAGAAAAAATAAATGCCAGACGTAATAATAAAATCTGTAGGATGCCTATGCTGAGAATGCTGGTTACAACTGGAAAACTTTACTTGCATTATGGATAAATACAGACTCAAAGCAGAATTGTAGTACCTGTGATCATATCATAAACCGTAACCAAGCCATATCGATAATGGTGATATCACCCAACTATGATATCATTTAAATTTGTGTAAGATTTTGGGCATGTCATCCAGCCACACTCAAAAAAAAAAAGCTCAGAAATTGCATTTTACTGAAGGCTGTAGTTTAGTGGAATTTGGGAAGTTTTGAAAGTACAGTAGCATAAAAAATTTAAGTGCAAACCCTACGGTAGATATGATCCCAGATGCTTTCAATAATTTGTTGCCAAATTAGCAGAAAAAAAATACAGGGACACAACACCAAATATGCAGTGTATTCACAAATAAACAGTCAAATACCTTACATTTAAATTCCCTACCTTACCTGAAGCTCCTAAGTTTTTCCAAAGCAGCAGCTTGGTAGCAGAATGTAGATGAATTTCCTGGTAAGTCAAAGAGATCCTGGGAACGAGGTAGTTAAAAAGATCATTGCACACTCACAGCTAAAAACCTCCATATCCCTCCACTGTGCAATCCCCGATTTTTTTATCTTATATGTTGAAATTAATAATTAAGACAAAGTCTTGGTGGTTCAGTAAAACTTTATGCATAAAATGAAAGGTATTTATCTTAGAAGCACTCATGTATATTATCCTAGAACTACAAATGTACAGCTATGTGTAAATCAGCGATGGATTTGTAGTTTTAGGAAGCCAAGGGAGAAACTTGTGAATTGTTACCTTGATAGATGGGAATATATTGGATGGATGGCACTAATAATGCTACTACCTTAGGGTAAAAAAATAAACTTTTTTTTTTCACAGTTATAGGATACTTCTCAAAACTTTATCCAAGAAATTAAAGTCATGAGCATTATATATTATGGCAAAACTATGGCAAAGCCACAGTCAACGTGGAATGGAGTGGGTATAGAATTAAACTGTGGTTGGCAGAGGATTTGCAAATTAGGAAAGAAATTTGTCTTCTTTTCTAGTGGGAAGAAAATAGTGTAAAACTGTAGGCATTTACAAGCAGTGTGGCTTACAGGTGAAATCAATCTCTCTTAATCTTAAAGTCATCTCATATTTGCATCTTTGACCAGTAATCATGAAGTCCGAATTAATTTGTAGACCCAGTAAGTAGAAAATAATTATGAACTTCTAGGAATTCTCTTGCTATCAAAAGAGTGTATATGAAAGATCATTATTAAAACAAAATGAAACAAAACAAACTTAAATGGGAGATTTCCAAAAGAAAACCATCATTGTATGAAAATACCTTTCTTTTGTTTGTTTCAGAAATGAACTTCTGACCATGGGGGACTGGAACTTGTTGGGCAGCATCCTTGAAGAAGTGCACATCCACTCCACCATAGTTGGCAAAATCTGGCTCACAATCCTGTTCATATTCCGGATGCTGGTGCTGGGAGTGGCTGCTGAAGATGTCTGGGACGACGAGCAGTCCGAGTTCATCTGCAACACAGAGCAACCTGGCTGCAACAACATCTGTTATGACAAAGCCTTTCCCATCTCTTTGATCAGATACTGGGTTCTACAGATCATATTTGTCTCCTCCCCATCATTAGTGTACATGGGCCATGCACTCTATAGGTTAAGGGCGCTTGAGAAAGAGCGACAGAACAGGAAAGCCCACCTGCGGGCTCAGCTGGAAGACCTGGAACCCATGCTCGAGGAACACAGGAGAGTAGAGAGAGAACTGCGTAAGCTGGAGGAACAGAAGAAAGTGAATAAGGCACCCCTGAGAGGGTCCCTGCTGCGCACCTATATCCTACATATCCTGACCCGGTCGGTGGTCGAAGTGGGCTTTATGATAGGTCAGTATCTTTTATATGGGTTTCACATGTCCCCTCTTTACAAATGCACTCGGCCCCCATGCCCTAACACGGTGGATTGTTTTGTGTCCCGACCCACAGAGAAGACCATCTTTATGGTTTTCATGAACAGCATCGCCGCCGTCTCCCTCTTCCTCAACATCCTAGAAATCGCCCACCTGGGCCTCAAGAAGATCCAGAAGAGCCTCTGCGGGCAGCCGCAGTGGCCGGCAGGCCTCGCCGAGGAGGATCCCAGCCTTACAACTCCAAGAAGAGCTCCGTGGTGCCGTCGCGCGCCCCGCCTGGCCAGCAACGCGGCCCGCCGCGCCCCGCGCCCGCCCCGCTCCCGCTACCGCCGCCGCGCCCGGCGCCGCCCGGCCCGCCGCCGGCCCGGGCGGCACCGCGGGCAGCTCCGGGGACGCCGCCGCCCCGCCGCCGGCACCACGGACAGCACCAGCCCTCCTCCAGCAGCGAGGAGGGCCGCGGGCCGCCGCGCCGGGCGGCGGGGCAGGGGCCGAAGCGGTGGGCGCCGGCCGCCGCCCGCCGGGCACCCCGCAGGCACAGCCGGTGAGCGACCTGCCGCGATCTGGGATGAGGAGCGCGGCGACTCCCCGGACAGCGGGCACTGCCCAGGAACGCGCAAGTCCAGCTTCCTCTCCCGCGTCCTCACCGGAGCCGGGCTGGGCAGCGACAGCGAGGGCACGCGTCCCGCGGCGGCTCCGGCCCCGGCTCCGGGTCCGTGTCCGGCTCTGAGGGGAAGCGCGCCGAGAGGGCGCGCCCAGCCCGCCGCCGCCAAATATGGGACGCCGCGTGTCCATGGCAAGTAGCGCCCGGGGCAGCCCGAGGGAGGTGGGCGAAGGGGGGCCCCCGCACCCTGTCCCGGCACGGGGGAGGAGAGGCCGAGCCAGGGGGCAGGAAGGCTTGGGCAGGACTTCCAACACAGCCCCAGCGCCTCGCGGTCTCCCGGACCATGCCAAGCTGCCAAACTTTGAGTCTCCTTTTGCAGTGAAAACAGAAACACTAGGGAATTCCTGAGTCCTGAGGAGCTCTAAGTCACCGAATCTCAGCTTCTTTATACTCATTCTATCATCCCAATCAACTCGACGGGGACCGTGCCAGGGAAAACTTCTTCAGCTCCACCCAGGTGGACACTAAGAAAGAGAAGTCTTGAATTCACTGAGTTCAATGACCCAACTTCTCTCAGCTTCAGGGGCTTTGTCCTAGAGGTGACCACTGAGTTCAGTAATTCAATTAATAAATCAGAAGATATACATATAAAAAACCCCACCAAATAATTGCAATGCAGAGCCAATGACTACAGAATTGCTTTTTCAGCAGCTGTTTCTCTTCTTTGGCCACATGCTCTAGGCTTGCTTACAGTCAGAGTTGATAACATATAGTGCTTGCACTCAAGAATCAACAAGACTTTCTTAAAATTCTGATTTTATTTGAATTCTGATTGCCTCAGATCACCAGTTTTGTCCTCTGAGAGCATAGAGGCTCCTTTACAAATGCTTGCAATAGCAAGCCCATAAATAACTTTTTATAGGGCATCTAATAAACAAGCTTACTTTACACAATGCTCAAAGTCATAGATTCTATCAGGTTTTTTTCTCACTCTTCCTAAAAAAACCCAAACCCACACTTTTGCCCAAATACAAAACAAACAAAAGAGAACAACTAACTATCTTCAAATCTTCTGTGGAAAGAAACAGAAGGCACTGTTACACATTGCTCATCCAAAAACTGTTTGTGGGTTCCAGTTTTTGTGGAGTTAGTTTCTACAATAAGCCAGTCAGCATAAGCCATAATAAATTGTCACTTAGGTGCAATTTAACCACTTTCCACTTCAATATTTCTAATACTAAGTGAGGGCCTAGAGTCTAATCTAATCGATCTGCTGGTTTTTGATACTCAGAGAGAAGGCATTTTAAAAAGGTGAAGTGCAGAAATTTATTCAAGCAGGACAGAATTTCAGTAGCACCCTGCTGAGAACTCACAGAAGTTGTTTGGCAGCTTTTCTTTTGTAATGACAATGACTTTATCTTCCAGGGGAGATCTTCAGAGAAATACATTCAGTTTGCAAAACAGTGTCATTACTCTTGAAAGTAGCAGTCCTCTGGCATGCTGCCTTTGGGGATCATTATATACCAGACTGGTCCTGGCATTTTAAAATGTAACTCATGTAGGTATGCTACCTGGTGTTTCCTGCTTACAGCACATGATATTTAAGAGTAAATGTCCTTCTAAACAAAATTGAGTCAAGATTTTGGCAAATGCACTTTACTCTGGCATTGCTGCAGTGTTTTATGAATACCGATTTCAATACAGAAATATGCTGATGCATAATAAATATGCTGAACCTGGGCATTAAAACTTGGATATTCCTATAATAGTCTGTATTCCCAAGCTCCTGTATTAACTAATTAATTTTGGTTGTCAAAGGCAGTCAGCACTGGTTAGATTCGTTTTGACTTCCAGAAGACAATCATCGTGTGTAAATGACAGAATCATAGAATGATTTGGTTGGAAAGGACCTTAAAGATCACCTAGTTTCAACTATTATATCTAAACAATCTATTAGATTCTGAGGACAGACCACCAAAACTGGACCTTCATTGCATCAGAAAAAGCACACAGCAAAGCAAAAGTGGAGAGTCATTGCACGACATGAGTGTCATTTCCAACTTATTTTGCTCCACCTAAACACAATGATATATCATCACTGACTATACAGATAACTAATCTCAGCTCAGTGGGGAACTAGCCTAAATAGTGTTACAAAACTCTGCATTGACAGGGGAATTCAGCAATGGTCTACAGTTGAAGACAGGCTATCTGCAAGTCTCCAAAACCTTTGTATTGAAGATCATATCTTTGAAGTGACAGCAAACAATTTGTTCACTGATAACTGTATAAAACTAAATTTCCAAGGCTCACTTACAGGATTCATCTTAGAGACTATATGGTATCATGTCTTCTAAGAGATATTGTGCTTACACACATAGTTCTGACCTAAGGTTTGCATCTCTCATCACATTTTTACTTTTATTTAAGGGGAGATACCTCTATGGAGCAAAAGGGCACCTTCTACATGGTCCTAGGCTGCCAGCCTCCCTTAGGCGAGCAGGCCTTAACTGGCAGCTTTTCACACACAACTCATTGAAAAGAGCAGGATGGAATTTAGTATAACTACAATCACAACTGACAGCTGGGAGCTGAATTCACAAAGATTTGTAGGAATTAATGCTGCTGTCAATAGGATTCTGCACATGAATGATAGTATGAGAAAAATCCCTCATAATCTGCACCGGTCAGGCCCTTGACTGGTGGATGATACATTTTTAAGCCTGATAAGATTAATAGACAGATGCAGTCAAAGGTCAGCACATAACGAGTACAGATACAATCTGTGCTCTCTTGAAAATAGGCAGGGCCAGGAATTACAGCCTATAAAAAGCACCTAGCTCTTGAAGCACTGCACTAAGAGGTATTGTCTCACAGCCTCTGCATGTAAGACTGTGTGAAGCCATTGGGACCATTGAATAACTCTCTTCTTCTCTCTGGAGGGATGAAAATCACATCTGAGCACTCCAACTGAATAATTAGAGAATAAGGGGGCTTTACTTCCAAAGTCACCCTTTGCCAGAATCAAGCAGTCTCCTTCCTCACACATTTTCTGCAAAGGAACAATTGCAGAACATCAGAAAGCTCAGTGGAGCATGACCACATCCTGACACTGCATCTTTAGAGTGTCACAATGTCATCCCAATTCAACAGCTGAATGCAAACATTTCTACAAAAGATGGAGGCCATCTGGTATTTCGTTGCTGGCTGCATTTGAAGTCTTTTGCTATCTGTGTCTCTTCCTTCCTTTCTAAAGCAGAAGATTCCAATTGCATGCTACCTGAGCATGTCCAGCATCAGTTCTTTTCTGTCTCTATATGATAGTTTTCTAAAGAATTCTATGGCATGCTCTAAAGCCTGTGGGTTTTAATTTGGTTAACTGGGATTGTGAGTAGTTACATTAGGCTAGCATCATCTTTCAGATGACTTGGAATTAATGATCACATTTGCATCCATGACTAAGCCTGTTAAGAGAACTACTGTGCTAGTCCTCTTGCTAGGTACCCAAGGATACCAAGAGGATGGGGGCCTTGACATTGTTTGATGATTGTATTTCTTCATGAAGTAATGATAAGTTGCTAAATCACAAAAAAATTTGGAAGTCATCAGAAGATGTATAATGTTCTTAGCAACCAAAATTACTAGATTAAGATTTTCAGAAAGAATTAGGCATTTTAGGCATACCAGATTTTTGTGTTTTTTTTTTTTTTTTTTTTTTTTTCAAGAAGTGCTGCATTTCCCCCACTCTCTCCTCCAGAGAGATCTGTGCTTTGAGTGTAATTTCTTTAAATCCGTATTTTTGGCTACAAAGTAACCAATGTATCTTTAAGAGCAAGGCCTCCTTCTGGTGGTGAATGAGAGGAATGAAGCTGATAATGAAGCAAGTGGCAACACTGATACTCTGAGTTTGCCGAATCGGTCTGAGAAAGGGCTGTCGATTTGTTTGCAGAAAAGAAAGTCTCGGGGGCTGAAATCCTGGCTCTGCTGAATTAGGGAAAATTTTACAATCCACTAGGTTCGCTTTCCTTCACTGCATTGCTTTTTTATTCCTCTGTGTTGTTCAGTTCTTTTTCTGCTTCTCAATTCTCCATTCAGTTTTGAGCCTGTTACCCACTGGGAAAACACTCCATAGTGAGCAGGATTGGAAAGAGAGAGCTGCTATTCAGCCTGAATGCTTGCAGTCTTCTTCAGAACAGGGCATGTTTACTCACCCTTTCAACAACACTTGAAGAGTAAATATCCACTCATTTAACTAGTTGCTCACCGGCTCTTGGTCCTGGGGCTGGGAACAGGTTGATAAGAGTGAATGTACATTGAAATAACAAACCTGATAAGCACAGAGGAGTTAGTTATACAGCTTAGCTCCACTAGGAAAATATACAGTTGTGGTAATGGACTGGCAAACCCCTGTGTTCCTCTAGGATTTTTGAGAATCCTTAAAGGTATTCACATTTACATCTGCTGTTAATTACTGCTGGTTTTGTACAGTTTTTCAATGTAAACAACTCTTTAAAAATAAATATATAAATCCCACAGTATTTGTATTTTATTCTGCCCTGGACCACTCAGAAGAAGCTGGTGGTGATGACAGCAAGTGTACCAATTATCATGCTACAGCTACTTGATCACCCAAAGGTAACTGTTCACCAGTTGCAAAAACACAGATAAACTTTGGGGGTCAGCAGCAGTTGAGCCCAGAGTTTAACTAATGAACCCCTCTGAGCATTTGTGCAGTAATAAACAAATAACCTGGATTTTAGAAAGCAGAACTGGCTTGAGTCCTTCTTTGTATGGTTTTAAAGCATTTAAAAATGTACAAAACCTCTTAATAGGTAAAGCAAGGGCTCTAGGATGGGTCCACTGATTTCAAACAAATTACTAAACCACAGAATCATAGAATCAGGATGGTTTGGGTTGGTAGTGACCTTAAAGACTATCTAGTTGCAGCCCCTACCCTATCATGGGCAGGGACAGCTTTCACTTGTTCAAAGCCCTGTCTAGCCCAGCCTGGAACACCCCAGGATGGGGCATCCACAACTTCTCTGGGCAACCTGTTTCAGTGCCTCACTGCCCCCACAGTAAATGACTTCTTCCTAATATCTAATCTAAACCTACTTTCTTTCAGTTTAAAGCCATTACTGAAGAAAGCCCTTCAAGGTAAGTATGTTGTCAGCTAAACACCAGATTCCTTTAACTGTGT